ACCCTCAAAAGTTTTTTCAATCGGTGCTTTTAGGCTTTATTTCCTATTACTGGGGCCCTGGGTTACATGGTCTGTCTCACTGTCCATTTTTTTGCCTGGTTTATCTGCACTCCAATGTGTGACCACGGTCAGCCAGCTGCCTTGTGCCCTCACTGGGTCTGCCTATTGCCACCCCACACCTGGGATCTGACAACCTGGGTCTGTTCAGCTGCTTTCTCCTGCCTCCACCGCTCCCCGCCAGCCACCGACTCCGCCCCTCTTACTGGCCTGGATGAATGGTTTGCTGTTGTCAGACCTTGGTACAGTTCCATTTTCTGTCTCTTTTGGTTATGTTTGTCTCTAAATCTTTGTTGTCCTTAAACTTGGTTGTGCAAGGAGGTACAGTATAGTATTTCCACCTATATCTCCACCTTGGCCAGAAGTCCTAATTTTTATCTGTTTGTTTCTCTTTTTATTTTAATACTGTCTTCTTTAGCCATGCAGAAGTTTTTTATTGTGATGAGATCCCATTTGTTTATTCTTTCATTCATGTCCAAATAAGACAGGTGGTGAAAGACAAATACCATATGATCTCACCTTTATCAGGAATCTAATCAACAAAACAATCAAGCAAAATATAACCAAAGACACTGAAACTGAGAACAGGCTGACAGTGACCAGAGGGGAGAGGGGAGGGAATTTCAGGGAGAAAAGGGGAAGTGTTTGCAGGGACAAGTGTAAAGGACACATGGACAATAACAAGGGTGGGGGGTGGAAACAGGAGGGAGGTGGGGAGGCCTGGGGGGTGAGCTGGGATGGGAGTAAAAGGCAGAAAATTGTACTTGAACAATAATTAAAAATTTTTTAAATAAAAAAATATATACAGAATGAGCCACATATCTAATTTTAAATTCACTGGAAGCCACATTAAAAAAGAAACAGAAGGTGAAATTAAATTTAGTAAAATATTTCATTTACCAAACATATTCAAAGTATTGTCATCTCAACACGTAACCAATATAAAATAGTATTTATGATATATTTTATATTCTACTTTCATACTTGGTCTTCCAATCTGTTGTGTATTTCCTACTCACAGCATATCTCAATTTGGACACTAAATTTTCATCAGAAATACTTTCATAAAACTTATAGGTTAAAAAAAGGAGATTTACATTCTCAAGTTTTTCCAAACATGTTTAAAACTCTTCCAATCAATGAACCAAGTATTACTTCTTAAACCTTCATTAGAATTAACTAAAATTTAATAAAATTAAAATTCACTTCCTTGGTTACTTTGGCCGTAATTCAAGTCCTCAACAGCCCAGCCACAGGTGGCCAGTCGCTGACTTGGACAACAGACGTCCGGGATCCCCTGCTGCAACTCCAGTCCCAGGGCCTCACGCCGACCACCAGAGGCTGTTGGAGACTCAGAGGCGTGGAGACCTTTAACACATCTGACACCAAGCCCAAATTCCCCCGCTGTTCGCTATGTGATCACAGGCAAGGTTGCTAAACTCACTGACTTCAGTTTCCCCATCTATCAAATAGGGATGACACTGCCCACTTGTAAAATTCTGAGGATCGAATGTAAAAGTACTGATGAGAACTGCCTTACAGAAGGCACTGTATGTTTATTCTCTTCCCCTTATATGTGTACACTATTTATGAAGTGTGTTCCAATTTACTGTTTTACTTGCTTCTGAAAACAGGATGGTGGGGGAAGTATTAGTGTCCACAGTTGAAAGATAAAAAAACAAAGTTCAAATTGAACAGCTCAAAGTCACAGGCTGGTGACAGGGTAGGAATTCTAAGGAGTCTGGATCCAGTGCTTCTCTCACTACCTGCAGTAATTCAGCCTCAGCTGTGCCTCAGTCTCTTAGAATCCTCCTGCCCCACCCTACAATCCAAGAGGTAGGTGGGGAGCCCCGGGCAGAGGCCCTCAGGACTCCTCCCAGGGCACGCTGAGCAGGCAGGCTCTCCTGGCTCCATTGCTCTCTGCCTCTTGCAGGCAGCTGGCCAGGAAAGTGGGCTCAAGAGCCTTTGAGGACTGGCCATCGGCAATACCACCACTGCCACCCCACCCCAGCTCACTGTGTAATCAGGCACCCACTGATTTCCTTCTTCAGAGCTACAGAGACCAAGGAGGAAGGAACCAGTCACCCTCAAATGGGCAGGAGAAGAAAGGGGCCCTAGGGAATGAGTTAGGCCTCTAGGGCTCACCTTCTAGCAGATCAAGTGCATACAATCTTACCATAGTCTGGACTCACTGAGAAAAAAGACTCCATCAACCACCATCCCAAAAACTCTGATGGAATTCCACACAGCAATGAGAGCAAATGATGGGCAACTACACACAGTGACACAGGTGAGACACAAAGGTAATGCTGAGCAAAAGAAGCCAAGCCCCAGAGAGGGCATACTAGGTAATTCCATCTATGTGAAGTTCTACAACAGTCAAATAGTTTATGCTCAAAGATGTTCAAGACAGTGATTAGGCTTGGTGGGGTAGAGAACAAGGGTTTTCTGGGTTGCTGGTGCTGTTCCATTTCCCGCCCAGGTGCTGGGCACATGACCATGTTAGTGAAAATTTATCAAGTGCACTTTTCTGTATAGTTTTGCTGCAACCCTACACTAACTTTCTGAAGTGATGGAAGCATTCAACAAATCAATCCAAGTGGTGGTTATCTGGGTATATGCATATGTTAAACATCACTGAGCTGTACACTAGGGTTGTATTTTACTGTTTATAAATAAAACGTAGGGGAGTTACACTAAAGAAAGACTCAGGAATAAGTCATATAACTTTTTCCTCCTAAATTTAAACAACTCTAACCTTACCAGCTTAACCTCAAGGTCTTCTAAAAATATTTAGTTTATAAATAATAAATGCTTACATACGAACCTTAAGAATGTTTCATGAAATAAATGATACTCTAGTGTATAACCATAGTGCTCTAAAATGTCTCTGAAATGTATTATCTTAAGAGACAGTGCTACACATCTTCCTTCAAAGATGTCTTGCTTAAGAAACAAATTGACTTCCATGCCTTTTCCCCATCCTTTTGGAAGTATAAAAGAAGGTTTGGCTCAGATATGGAAGCAACTCAAGCACCCATCAGTAAACAAGTGGATAAAAAAGCTGTGGTACATATACAGGGTCCAGCACAAACAACACCCCCTTTTTATTACAAAATCTTTATTACAAAATCATAAGCATGTAATTCTATGATGTAACAATGTCATACTCAAGCACACAATATGACATATTAGGTGAGGTGTTCAAATTACTGTCCATCTTGTGCAAGACATTCATGTACCCTGACAACCATGCTCAGGTAGGTGTTACTTCTGCCAGAGCCTATATATAATGGAATATTATGTGTCCATAAAAAAGAATGAAATCTTACAGTTTGGATGAACCCAGAGGGTATTATGCTAAGTGAAATCCGGCAACCATAAAATAACAAATACCATATGATTTCACTTATACGTGGAATCTAAAGAACAAGATAAAATTTGAAACAGATTTATAGACATAGAGAACAGACTGATGGTTGTCAGGGGGAAGAGGGTTCAAGGAACTAGGTGGAAAAGGAGAAAGGATTAAAAAGTACAAATTAATAGTTACAGGATAGTCACAGAGAAGTAAAGCACAGCAGAGAGAATACGGCCGATAACACTGGAACACTAGGTATGGTGCAAGGTGAGCACTGGAAACATCGGCGGTGGGGAAGGGGGACCCCGTACAGTGTGTGGCTGTCTGACCAACCATGCCGCACACCCGAAACTAACACAAAGTAATACTGAATAGACTGTAACTGAAAAATAAAATTTTAAGTTCTTTTTCAAAACTAAAATAATTATTTGTTAAATGAAAAAAAAGGCTTGACTTGGGTAAAGATGTTCACAAATCTCAAATTTGTAAAGTCAAAATAAATCTATTAAATCAAATAGATTTAAATAGATTACACCTTTAAATCAAAGCACTTTCTTTTACAAAACATTGTATTAAATGTAGACGTTGACAAAGCTAGAACAGTGGCTCTGTACATTTCCAAAATAATATAAGAAAACTCCTCCAGGAGATCGATGCAGACAAGTAGTGGTCCCTTACCTTGTCTATAAATCTCAATGTGTCAAACAAATACTATATTTTAGCATCTGAGTATTTACTAATATTACAGGATTTTAGCAAGATAAATTCCCTAAAAATTTCACTATCAACTCAGGAACACTATGTTTAGGCTATTGAATATCCTTAAATGCTTTAAATAACAATCTGAGCTCAGCACTTTAAGATCTGCTAAAGGCCAAGACAGTTAGGTTTTATTCCCAAGGCCAAGCACCGAGAATATTATAAAACAAGAATACTTATTTCTTACTGCAAAACTCCCATTGTCCCCCAGGGGTATGTAATGCACCTTAAAACATCAACAAGAAATTTCACCAAAACAATCAAACAATGGCACTTTAATAAAGCATTGTTTGTCTCATGAGAAGTGAAGAACTTGAACACCAGCCTAAATCCCAATACCCTGAGGCAGGATCTATAAATGATGAGTAAGAGGAGTATACCTGTGCTTTGGAAAGGAAAGCCCTGGGAGGAGTGTCCTGAGAGCAACAGCAATGACCTCGAAAAGACCGATGTTACCTAAAATAACTACACTAGGACAGCCATGGTCAGTATCATCTTCAAACACAGCCACACCCCATGCCAGCCAGGCAGGCATCCACACCGTCCACATCCTCTCAAAGCAGCTTCTTAATGAGTGACTTGAATTAAAACGAGCAATAAAAGCACGCAATACTTGTTGGGATTACAAGAAAAAAACAAGTTTTGTCTCTTGGTAATGCACAAATAAGTGATGTAACTGGTTTATTTTTAATTCCCAGAATAACATTCTTGAGCAAAGACAGTTGTTAGGTAAAAGGTGCTTCTGGCCCATCTCCTATGTTATAATTCAGCCAATTCACTCACATAATCAAATGTCAAGTTCTTCATGCAAAAACGTCCTTACCAGAGAAAAGTTCAGCCCATCCAATGGATGGCACTGCTCTTCCACTTTTTCCACCACCCCAGTTTGTTTCCTTAGCCTCTCGGCCTCCTGGGCAAGGTACAGGTCTAACACAGGCACCCCACGGGACTTAACGTCCACTTTGGTCAGGGAGTTGACCATGAGCATGACCCAGATGGGCCTCTTGCGCTCCCAGTTCCACGCAATGGCATTGAAGAGGTAGTCTGCATAGAGACCCTTACCGTGCTGGTCGGGGGTCATCCACGAGGGCATCAGGAGCTGGACGTACTCTAGGTGGTGCTTGAGGTGGCAGGAGATGTCCCTGGGGAGCACATCCTGGAGGTTCTTGCCCTGTGGCAGCATTGGACAGCTAGTGAGGGCCAAGATAGTGTAGGGGTCTGTGAGGTCCAGCTCGAAGTACACGATGCTGCTCTGCTGAAAAGCCTCCTTGGAATTGTCCGAGATGAAGTCCCACACCCGCGTGTATGGGACATGGATTGTGCCAAAGAAGTAAGGTGGCAGATCTTTCTTTATGGTCCACAAGAAGGAATTTAATTCACTTTGCTAAAAGGAAAGGAGGCATGATATAGAGGGTCAGGAACTTAAAGGGATAAAATGCATTAGAGAGACAGGTCACGGAGCAGGAGAAAAATCATCAAAATACACTTCAGACTTTTAAGTCCAGGTAGATTCACTCGCCAGGAGCAGGAGTCCTCAATGCAGCCTCCACTACGGGATCCTTTTCCCCTTTTCAATCAAAATACTGATTAAAGACAAGTTTGCCCCCATAGCTGCCTAGCATGAACTGGGCAGGAGTTAAATAGGGGACTCTCAAGGGACTCCAAGGATGCACCTGGGACAGGCGAGAGACACCTGGGACAGGTGAGGGACACCTGAGAAGCCCCATTACCTCCTCTAACCAGTGCTTGCCCCAGAGGGACAGGCCTGGTGCTCCAGAATGGACTCTTCGAAAGAAATTAGAAATCCTCATTTTATTTAAAATCTTCCAGTTTGTAAACATTGCCTCAGTTTTCTTAAAGGCCCTGCAAGCCAAGGAGAACATTATCTTACTAGCCTCCAGCCTGTAACCTTGCTTTTTAAAGCATTTAAATGACAGTTCTGCTCACACACACCTTTTCAAGAGCGCACTGTTTGGGGGCGGGGGAGCCTACATTATGCTCTGTCTCAGCTACTGGACGGAGATTTTTTAAAGACAGTTCATTTCTCTGTACTTCAGTTTTCTCATCTATAAAAGTTAGATAAGAACCCTCTCATAGTTTACAGCAATAAACAAATTAGACAGGTAACTGTTAAATAAATGAATAAAAGAAAGAACACATCTTTAAAACCTATTAAGGAATTAGGAGATGAATTATGTATGGAGCCTCTTGCTAGTCTTCAGACATCCTCTTACAGAGTAATGAGAGTCCTCACAGTTAGTTAAATACTTCAAATAGCCAAATGGAAACTATATACCTACCAAAGAATGGCTGTCCAGGCTAATTTCGCAATCAAATATATCACTGTTGCGTAGAATTAGATCAAGCTGGTACAAACACACTAACTAGATGCAATTCAAAAGTAGAGCCTGCCCTGGCCAGTGTGCTTCAGTTGATTGGAGCGTCATACCCTAACCAAAAGGTCACTGGTTCGATTCCCAGTCAGGGCACAGGCTTGGGTTGTGGGTTTGTTCCCAAGTCCAGATGTGTATGGAAGGCAACCAATTGATGCTTCTCTCTCACATCGATGTTTCTCTCTCTCCCTTCCTCTCTCTCCTTAAAGACAATAAAGAAATGCCCTTGGGTGAGGATTAAAAGAAGGTTTTTTTTTTTAAAGCTGAGATTGACAGTCCTGGCTTTGTTTCATTTCAAATACGTAACAAAATAATCACCTATAAACACAAATGATGTGCTTAGAGGTGGCCTTCCAAGCATAGCTTTAGTTCGGTTATTTGTTCATTTTAGGAGAAAAGTCAATCATCAAAGGGGTTCTGGATGGTGGTACAACCGGGCACCAGTGACTTATGTAAGAGACCGACCCGGTCACCCAAGTCCCAAGCAGTCTACCAAAGGGCTTCTTCTACGTGGTTTAAAACTGGAAGATAGAGAAAAAGGGCCAAAATGTTACTCTTAAACCCATGGACACCTAATTCAGCTGTCATCTCTCAGACAACCATAATATTAAACAAATATATTTTCAGGAAAACTAAACCCGTACTGCAGGATCGTGGTGCATATGGGAGTGTGGCGGGGGTGGTAAGGGCAGGGGAAGGTCATTTGTTTTGGTTTGCAATTCACATAATCTGCCTAAAGTCCCATCCTATGTCAAAAAGCCTGCACTCCTATTTAAACAATGTCTGATCAACTATATGCACCCATTTTCATTATTTCATTTTTTAAAAATAATCATTAGTCTAGAAATAGGGTTCTTATCCGATCTTTTCCTGAAAACTGTTCAATATTTTTTTAAAAATTCTCAAGTTCTGGCATCCAGCCATGTGCTAACCATGATGTTGCTAGGAGCAGCGGGCGGTTATTGAATGCTCACTGTGTGCCAGGCACCTCCCGACTGCATTTGTTCCTCAATGATTTATGCTGTGCCTACCCTGTGCCAGGCACTGTTCTAGGCATTAGGGCACTAGGAGCACAGCAGTGAATGAAACGCAAGTCCCCGTGTTGGGTACGGTGGTGATAACTGCTGTGGAGAACATGGAAGTGGGGAGGGGAGCAGAGAACACAAGTGGAGGAGGAATGAGGTCTTAAACTGGGCGATCTGGAAAGTCATTGCATGTCTAGCACAAAAGTCACTGAAAGTCTGCGAGGACAGAGCTTATGAGAGAGGAGCGTGCCCTCTTGGAGGAGGGGCCGGCAATGCAAAAGCCCTGAGGCAGGATGACTGAAGACAAAAACAGGAGTCAAGGGCAACGAGGGAGGGGGGCCAGGCCACACATGGCCTGTGGGCTACCAGTAGGGCTCAGGCTCACATGCTGAGTAGGATGGGCGCTAGCGCAGGTTTTTGTGAGAGCAGTGACACGCGCTGACTTAATGTGTTAACAGGGTCATTCTAGCAGCTGCAGTGAATAGACTATGGAGGGATGAGGGCGGGTGAAGGGTCAGTTAGGAAGTTGCGGAAATAATCTGAGAGAGAGAGAACAGAGTGGTTGTGGCAGAAATGATCAAATGTGACCAGATTTCTGGATGTATTCTGGAAGCTACAGCCAACAGAATTTGCAGATAAAGGTTAATTAAAAGAACAAAGTTGCCATCACCTGAGATGAAGAAGACAGGGGGTAGAAAGAGAAGAAGATGGATAGTTTGGCCCTGTGGAGTGGAGCAGTCAAACAGACATCAAAATGGGGAGGTGGAGATGGTAGGCGGATGTACGAGTCTGGAATTGGGAGAGGCCTGGGCCACAGATGAAAATGAGGGATCTGTCACCATGTAGATGTTATTGAAAGCCATGGGACTGGGTGAGCTCTCCAAGGGACTCAGAGTAAACAGAGGAGAAAAGGTCTAGAAATGGTCCAAGTTTCTGAAGTGAAGCGAGAGAAGAGAAGCCACCAAAAGAAGACAAGTGGTCAGTGAGGTTATTGGGAAAAGCAGGTAAGTAGGGAGCCAATCAAAGTGCTTCAAGGGGGAAAAAGTAAGCTGGTGGGTTCAGCGTGACTGATGGGACAAAGCAGTTGAGGGTTTGAGGACTGCCCACTGGATAGCACAACACCAAGGTCACTGGGGACCTGGATGAGAATGGTTTTGGTGACATAAGGTGAAAGCCTGCCCAGTGCCCATTCAGGAGAAAATAGGAAAGGAAGTGAGAGAACACCGGTCATTTCCAGATGGAGAAACTGAGGCCTTGAGAGGTTTATGATGTTACCCAAGGTCTCATGACTGCTAAGTGGTACATCCAGGATTCAGGCCAGGCTGACAAGCCAGGTAGGCTGACTCCTGAGCCCCCGGTTTTAAACACATAATGTGGCCTTAATATGCAAAAGACTTTACTCAAGATCCAAAGTCCTATCTTTTTCAATTAATACCCTAGGTCCCCTGCTATACACTGCTGCTCAGAAGCGCCCCCTGACTCCAAATTGAGAAAGGCCTGTCCAGCTACCCTTCCTGAGTCCTGATTACCTGCCCAGATAAATCCACACTGACACCTTTAAATCCCCAGTCTGCCACCTTCCACATTCTCTCTTTTCAGGACAACACAATTTGGGGGGCTTTTCTACCTTTTAAAAGCAGAAGTTTTAAAGAAACAACCCTCATAGAGCTTCCTGAAAAAACAGAGTTCTGTCCTGTTGGAGCAGGGCTCCCGGTGCCCCTGACCACAAACACTGCCCCACGGGCCACAGCTGAAGGAAGAGTCTTCAAGGCTCCTAATCAGGGAGCTCTGACCTTGCCTTTGCCCAAGGGTGGGCCCCCCAGCTGCTGCACTGATCTAACAGGTGCAACTGCCCCCGCCTCCCTCACACTGCCACCCCAGGGGTAGAGCTCTTTGCCTACACACACGCGCACACTCACACCCAATTGCTCTACCACCCCACTTCACTATCATTGTAGCTACCACATCCTACTAGAAGAAACCACATATTTTAACATTATGATGATCTAACGCTATTAAAATATCCTCTTAATGCTGCAACTATCCTAAAAGAAAAAGATAGTGCCATGGATAACGGAGACATGAGAAGCTTCAAGTTCTGGCGACTAAATCAGTGGAGACTTTTACACATGTGTGTGTGATCTGGGAAATGAAACAAACAAGCACAATGACAACCTGCGTGATGTGAGCTAAGTCCCTGGACCACTGCTCACTTCGGCCCCTCCCATCCTAGCGTCCTGGGACCTGTGACAACCACATTGTCCAGGAGGACCCTTCGGCAGACCAGCTAGAATGACACGAAAGTAACTGGCCTTTAGTTTACCTTTCTCACACGGCAAATGTTAATGGAGCATCTCCTGTGGCCAGGCACCCTTCTCAGCACTGGGGATGCAGTAGCAAAGAAAACAGATGAAAGTTTCTACTCTTATGGAGATTGCATCATTTTTATTACAAGAAACAAAAAATTTACCAGATGATGATTAAGTGCTACAGAAAAAAATCAGGGAAAGCAGCTAGGAGGGCAGACAGGGTGTGGGGGGTGGCGATTGACATAATCTTTAACAGGTAGGTAATCAGGAAGAGTCTCATGAGAGACAGTTGAGCAGAGTCTACATAGGAGTATGGGAAGCGTGTGGATGGCTGGGAGAAAAAGTAGCAAGTATGAAAGAACTCGGCAGTTCTGTTTTGATAAGGAAAAGAGGCGGCCTGTGTGCCGCTCAGGGTAAGCCTGTGGACTTCATTCAGCTCAGGAGTCCTCTCTAATGATTAACAAAAGCTGGAAACCAAAGCAGCTCTCAAGCCACAGGCCTTCCAGAAAGCTGCAGTAAACTGCCGCATCAAACTGGAGGCTGGACTCCCGAGTTCGACTCTACAATCTCAAGACTGAACGACCTGGGGGGACGCACCCCCAGGGTCCTCTAGAGCAAGGAGGTCAAGCTCTGCCCCGACTGACCTGATCTCTGCAGGGGGTAAGACAATTTGCCCACTGAACAGAACAGCGATTCTCCAAGTGTAGTCCAGGGAACTGTGGGTGTCCCTCCGACCCTTTCAAGTAATCTGCAAAGTCTGAACTATTTTCAAAATACTAAGATATTGTCCTCTTTCGCTCTCATTCTCTCATAACTATACACAAAATTTTCTAGAGGCTACAGGCATGTGATAACATCACTGCTCTGATGGTTAATGGCTCATGCACTTGTATTTAATATTTCCATTAACCCATATAAATAAGAGCTCCTTGGAGACTTCAATACTTTTTATAATGCAGAGAGGACCTGAGACTGAAGAATGTGGGAAGTGATAGAATAAAAGACCTACAAAGACAGATTCGAGAGAAACAGACCTTATTAAGACTCACTGGTGGGACTTCCACCAAGATGGAGGCATAGGTGGAGACGCCGTGCTTTCTCACACAACCAAGTTTAGAGACAACTGAATATTAGCAACAGAAAACACAGCCAGAACACAGAAAATTGAACTTTTCGGAAGTCTGATAACAACAAATTCTTCAGCCTGACCGGTAAGAGGGGCGAAACCAGCAGCTGGTGGAGCGGGGTTGCACAGGAAAACTCGGTCAGAAGGACTCAGGCGCGCGGAATCCAGGCGAGGGGTTGGACCTGGTGGGCAACGCAGCCAGCGGCCACGTAGAAACAGCGAGGGAGCAGGGCTGCGGGTTGACTGTGGTAGCGCATTTGTGCATGGGTGGACAGGCGAGGGAGTGGGCAATTGAACGGGACCCAGCGGGCCCCAGCAGCAACAGCAGCAGAGGGCGCCGCCATTTCCCCGCTCTGACCCCGCCTCCACATACAGTGTCATAACCCAGCGACCAGAGTGGCCCAGCCCTGGTGAACCACCTAAGGCTCTGCTCCTCACCCAGCGGCTAGAAACTGCAGAGGGGGTCGCCATTTCCCCGCTCTGACCACGCCCCCACGTACAGCGTCACAACCCACTGACATGGGAGTCCAAGGCTCCGCTACTCACACTTAAAGGGCATGAACAGACCAAAAATGGCTCAAGAAGATCTCAAAGCCCCAGAGCCTATAAATCTAAGTGATGAAGAAATAGCAAAACTCTCAGACACACAGTTTAAAACACTGGTGATCCGGATCCTCACAGAACTGGTTGATTATAGCCACAAATTAGACAAACATATGAAGGCAAAACTAATTGAAATGAATGGAATTGCACAGGAAACCAATAGCAATGAAAAGGAAACTGGGACTCGAATCAATGGAGTGGACCAGAAGAAAGCAAACAATGGCCAAACAGAAAAGAGTCAAGAAGCAAGAATTCAAAAAAATGAGGAGAGGCTTAGGAACCTCCAGGACATCTTTAAACGCTCCAACATCCGAATTATAGGGGTACCAGAAGGGGGAAAGGAACAGCCACCAGTGGAAAACTTATTTGAACAAATAATAAAGGAGAATTTCCCCAAGCTGGCAAAGGAAATAGACTTTCAGGAAATCCAGGTAGCTCAGAGAGTCCCAAAGAAGTTGGACCCAAGAAGAAACACACCAAGGCACATCATAATTACATTAGCCAAGATTAAAATGAAGGAGAGAATCCTAGAAGCAGCAAGAGCTAAGGGGACAGTCACCTACAAAGGAGTCCCCATCAGACTGTCAGCAGATTTCTCCAAAGAGACCTTACAGGCAAGAAGGGGCTGGAAAGAAGGATTCCAAGTCATGAAATCCAAAGACCTACATCCAAGATTGCTCTATCTGGCAAAGCTTTAATTTAGAATGGAAGGACAGATAAAGTGCTTCTCAGATAAGATCAGATTCAAGGAGTTCATCATCACCAAGCCCTTATTATATGAAATGTTAGAGGGACTTATCTAAGAAAAAGAAGTTAAAAAAAAACATGAACAGTGAAAGGACAGCAAACTCATAGTTATTAACAACCACACCTAAAACAAAAGCAAACTAAAAGGACAGCTAGATCAGGAGTGGAAACATAGAAATGAAGATCTCAAGGAGGATTAGCAACAGGGGAGTGGGAGGAGGAGAAGGGGGGAGAAGGTACAGAAAATAAGTAGCATAGACAGTAGATAGAAAATAGATGGGGGGCAAGAATAGTATGGGAAATATAGAATCTAAAGAACTTGAGACATGTGGTCATAAACTAAAGGGGGGGTAATGGTGGGAACGAGGGAGGGTAGGGTGGAGGGGAATGAAGGGGGGAATAGAACAACTATAATGGCATAATCAGTAAAAAAAATAAATTTAAAAAAAAGACTCACTGGTTATAATATAAGCTGGTAATAAATTTTGCAGACGTGAAAGGCTTTCTTCCTTCATAAGAAAGAATGGACCTCTGCTTAGTATAACGAGCACACAGCGGCCACCCCGCAGCAGAGTCGGAAACTCCCCCGGCCCGGCCGGGACTTCACTGGCGCCCCCCAGTCTCCCGACTGCAGGGAAAGAGTTCAAGCCCCGGCGCCTTAAGAACACTGTGCGGCTTTCCGGCCAGCCCCCTTCGCCAGCAACTGCTCGATTAGGCCACCCCCTCCTTTGCTGTAATTAGGTCGAAGAATAAAATTAACAATAGCCGGTGGTGGGCGTGGCCCTGGCTCATGCAAGGGTGTCACCGAAGACTGGCCGACACTGAACTGCAGCGCCCGGCGGCCCTAAGCCTGGGATCGCTCTGCCCAGCTCCAGCGATCCACAGAAACTGCACCCGCCTAAACAAACGCAAAATTTAACCTCCACGATGCGCAGATGAGCGAGTTGAGAACGACCAAAAAATTCGGAGCGTAAGAAAATTGATCAGGAGAAGGAAACATGCATCTTGCAAGAGACGTCCCGTCTCAGAGACGCAGGATCTGCCCGGTTTCCTCTCCGCGTCTCTGCTCCTGCAGGGCCGGTGTCGGGCAGGTCGCTGGGCGCCCGGGCCGCGGCCGCGTCCCCCTCCCACCGGCGCCAACAGCTGCGGCAGCGAGCGCCCCGCGCGGGCCAACGCGGGGCTGTCGGACGCGGTAGCTCCGCGAATGCGCTGAGACCCGGGTACACCCGTCCCTTTCTGAGTCTCAGTTTCCCAGGTCGGTAAAACACGGGAATGGCTTCGGCTCCCCCAAATCCCTTCTAACAAGTCGAGCAGCTGCACGGTGCTTTTCCCGTTCCGGTGAGAATAGGAGAAATTACGCGCTAGGAATAGAGGGCGGAACACAGTTCCCAGGCAAAGGTGCCCACGTTCCCACGCGGTCCCGGGGAGTCCATCCCCCGAACGTCTCCCACGCAGACTAGCGGGACCCAGGAGGGCCCGCTGGGGCGCCCCTGGGCTGGTAATGCGCGGGGCTGGGGAACAGGGTCTCCTGCGGCCGCAGGGCTGCGCCCCCGCGGGAAAAGGGGACCGGGGACGCCGCGGGACGCGCGAGCGAGGAGGCGCTGCCCTGGAGGTGGAGCCCGGCCTGCGCAGTCCGCCCCGCGGCCACTCGGGGCGCTTCGCGGGGTTCGGCAGGCAACCCCCTAGGGGGCGCCGCGAGGCCGCCCGCCGCGACTTACCTGGGCTGGAGCCCGCAGCGCGCAGGGGGGGCACATCCTCTTCACCGCGGCGCCGAGGCCTGAGCGCGGGGGGAAGGAGTGGGGCCGCGGACGCCGTCCGTGTGGGTCACCGGCGGCCGCCTAGGCTCGCCGGGCTCGGGGGCCGGGCCCACCGACCGCCCCGCACCCCTCGCCTGCTCCCCCAGCAGTTAGCGCGGCGGCCAAGTGGGGCCGGGCCTGACCCCTCCCAACTCCGCGCCGCCCGGAGGCGGCGGAGCGGGCCGGGTTCTCCCGCCCAAACGCTGCCAGGGTGTGCGGCCACCTGCGGAGGCGGCAAGACGCGGAAGGTGAGGTTCCAGCGCTGTCTGCTAAATTCAACCTAAAACCGCCTTGGCTCGAGCCCTTAAGTCTGTGTTTCTGCGCCAGTTCTGAGGTTGGTTCTTGACTGGAAGAGATAGACCAACGAAACAAATGAAAGCCTACTTTTAAAGGAAAGTTCATTTAAACAAACAAAAAAATCGTATGGCAGTTTCGTCTGTAAAAATGGGGAATGGTCAATGTATGCGTTCGCTTAAAGTGCGGAAACCACAGAAGCCGGCACTCCACTGAGTGCCCTCTTAAGGGATTTGAGGGAATAATACAAGGGTGTGAACACCGAACTCGAATGATTACTGCAAAGAGTAATTGCGGACATTTATGAAAAACACCTCGTTCGGTGCACATAGTAAGTAATCCTGCAAAATGTGGCCATTCCCCTTCCGCTCCACATTCCCCAGGGGGCTTTTCACGTCACTGACCCTTCAGGAAGAAAACATTGTGAAAGCAGCCAGCGGTACTCGGCCTCTCCCACCTCCCACCCAGAGCTCGAGGGCACTTTACCAGCTCCCTGTACGGCCCAGACTAGGCGTAATTACTTTCGAGGGGTGTTTAATGCAGCATTTGTAGCAGGGGGTCTTAATTGTTTTTAAGTCCCTGTTTGTTTTGAGACTCTAATAAAAACTGTGGACGGTAGAGGGGTGGGGGTGGGGGGTGTCTGTCCAGATTTGCACGCAATGGGAGGAGTTTTCTGACACCCAGAAACACATCCTCAGCATTCCAGTAAAGAACCCTTGGCTTGAACGAGCTAAGTTTTCCAAGCTTTCATTCCCTGGGCGTTAGGCTTCAAGTATTTTTGTGAAATCCTGAACTTTTTCCTCACACTTTCCCAGGTGTGAGTATTTACTTTCTGAGCTGCCCCTCCCTCTCTCTCCCTCTCTCTCCCTCTTCCCCCCTCTCTCCTTCCTTTAACAAACTCCCTTTCAGCCCTGCGGCAGTCTTTGGTTCCAATCCCACCCGCCAGGCCACCTGTCCGGGTTTTCAAGGTGCCAGTGCTGCCACCTACTGGCGAAAACGTTCTCTGGTTGTGAGATGACAGCATCAAGAATCCAAAAGGGAAGTACTGGGTTGCCCAAAACGTTCCTGGTTTATTTTTCGGTAAAATAAAAGACGTATCTTTCATTTTCACCAGTAACTTTATTAATTTGGATAATTCGAGCATGTCGGCTATCTTTCACATGGTAGAAGTTAATTGTTCTCCATTAATGTCCTGATTTGATTGCTATCAACTTCAACCCGTCTTCCCAACCGTGGAGCAGAGCATCGTCCAGTATGGATAACTCTCCAGCACGAAACTTCACAAACCACTTCTGACACATTCGATCAGTCACAGCACCTTCTCCACATACGCACCAGTCTTTTTTGTTTCTGTTGTGTTTTTACCTTTCTTGAAATAATAAAACATAAATGCTGAAAATGGCACTTATTTTCTTCCATCTTCAATATTAAAATAGCTACATAAAAATTCACCAATTTTGATGTTTTTTTAATTGTACGCTGATATGACAGCTGTCACAATACAATCCAACGAAATTGTTTCAAATGAAGTTAAAGACAACTAAGCGCTACTTGAGCCATTTTACAGAAAAAAAAAAGAACGTTTTGGCCAACCTAATACAATAATTAAGTATTACTTCATACTCTGTCCCCCACTACAAGTGAATTACCAACCAATCAGCTGTGGCTAAATGGAAGATGGGAGGAATAATGTGTCACAAAAACATGATGGAGTTTGGTGGCGAAAAAATTATCATTACATTTCTATTACAATGTCATTTCTATTACATTGATTTCTGCTCTTACCTGTATTTCCTTCCTTTTAGTTACTCTGGATGTATTTCCCTCCTCTTTTTTTAGCTTGTTAAGGTGGAATCTTCCTTCTCCAATACAACCATTTAAAGCTACACATTTCCCTTCAAGCACTGCTTTAACTGTGTCTCAGAGATTTTGAAATGTATTATCATTCAGTTGGGAACACTTTCTAATTTCCTTGTGATATTTTCTTTTCCTCAGCCAAGGATATGATTATTGATTTTGGAGAGAGAAGAAAAAGGGAGAGAGAAAAGGAGAGAAACATCCATGGGTTGCCTCTTTCCCCCACCCTGACAAGGACGGAACCCACAACCTAGTCAGGTGCCCTGACCAGGAATCAAACCACAACCTTTTGGCGTATGGAATGGTCCTGCAACCAACTGCACCACACTGGCCAGGGCAAGGTGAGTTTTTATTTGACTGTGATAGTTTATAAATATGTCACTTAATTTCAAAATTATGGTTTTTTCTTTAGACATCTTATTGTTATTGATTTCTAGTGTAATTTCATTGTTATCAGAAAACATTCTCTGTATAATTTCAATCATCTTGAATTTATTGGGGCTTTGTTTATGGCCCACAATATGGTCAGACACTGAGTGAAATATCTGGTCTATAGATAACTTTGTTTCTGACATATTTTAAAAGTGGGGCTTCCTGCCTTCACCAGAATTACTCTGTAAGACAATCAGTGTTCAGACATTTAGTAGAATCACATCCACCCGCTATACATGTCTCCACAGACATCCCGAGTCCCCTGTCACTCCACAGTACTGCCCCAGCCCTGGTGACAGGCAGACTGGCATAGCTTCATCCTCCCCCACCTTAGAAAGATATCTAGGCTGTGGCTTGCGGGCCAGGTCCCAGCTGGGGGTGAGAGAGAAGCAACTGATTGATGTTTCTTTCCCTCTTTCTCTTTCCCCTTCCCCTCTCTCTAAAAACTAAATATATAAAATCTTTCAAGACATCTAGGCTGAAGGCCTTCCTGGCCACTCCTTTCTGGTCAGGAGGATGATGCTAAATGTACTGGTAGCGTCCTCTCTGTGTATGCACAGAATGTCTTTGTCTAGTTCAGCTCCCTTACTGGACTATTGTTCTTGGTCTGGACCTCTGGCCTCCCCCTGCCAGAGACCTGGATGTTTGTAAACCTTTTCCTGCTCCTTGTTGTTTCTCTTTCAGGTACAATTGATACCCCTGGCAACCTTCCTATGTCCACCTGCTCCTAAATTCTTCCTCTGTGTCCCTACCAATGGCTTCCTGGATTTACAGAAACCTGTGAAGCCTGTTCCCTTCGTAGCCGTCACCTGAGGAAATTATACCCTGGAGGCCTTTTTGCTCTTTCCCAAAAATCAGATGTTCCCTTCAAAACAAAGGTTCAGGGTCTGCAGAGAATTTGCCGTGGTGCTGCCCCACCTCTGTGCCTTCACCCTGCCTTGCCCTGCCTGGCGTGGCCGCCCTGCAGCCTTCCGAGTCCTGAGTCACTTCGCACACTCAGATTTCCCAAAATGGCTGGACTGCTCAGGTAGGGCGGGCAGGCTGCCTTGATCCTGCCTCCCGGTACTCACACTTCTGTCCTTCTCTTGAGTGTGGGTAGGACCTGTGACTTGCTTACAACCACTGGAGATGGCAAAGGCGATGGACACACATGACTAGACAAAGGTCGGCGCCTATTCTCCCTGGATTCTCTCTCTTTTGCAGTTTTTGAAAAGTAAGTTGCCAGGCGTCCTACAACCATGAGGAAATGAATTCTGCCCACAACCAGAGTCAACTCAGAAGATTCTTTCCCAGCAAAATCTCTTGTGAGAAAACGGTCCTGGGACACACGTTGATTGCAGCCGCGTGTCACCCTAAGCAGTGCACCCGTTAAGCCGTGCCTAAACTCCAGACCCAGAGACACTATCAGACAGTAAATGTGTGCTATTTTAAGCCACTGAGTTTGTGGTAACTTGTCACACAGCAACAGAAAACTAACACACTGGGTAAAGTGAGGTGTCAAGGAATTCCCAAATGTTCCAACATGGGGCTGCGTCCTCAGGCTGTGTGCTCAAAGGGAGTGAGAGGCTCAAGACCTACTGCTCACACTTCCAGGGCTTCAGGTTCCGTGTGCTTCTGGAAGGGGACTGGAGTTTTGCCACAGTCCCTTGTTGGCACGAGAAATTTGTAAGTTAGAAAAGGTGGCGATTATCCCAAAGCTGCACTTGCTCAATAAGCACAGTTTGTACCTGGATTATGAGAAAAAGAAGACATCTCCTGATAGCCGGAAGCTGGCCTGGCGCTGTCGGTGAAGACTTGCTGTAGAGTTCTCCTGTTGGACGTAAATAACTTCACAGATGTCACCGTCCGACAAGGCCACTCTGACTGTGATGGGCGAGGACAAATACAAGACCGCTCCATGATCTCATCTCCACAGTAAGTGTCCGGACCACACAAAGGGCCAGATATCCCCATCATGGCTAATGAGTGGCCGCTGCTGCTTTACCCACCCAGCTCCACTTTGGCTTCGATCATTTCCCCCACCTTGTACACTAGATGTGGTAAGATGCTGTTATGGGCTGAACTGAACTATGTCCCCTTGAAATTCATGCGTTGAAGCCCATACCTTGTACGTCAGAACGGGACTACTTTTCTTAAATGGGGTCTCTAGAGAGGTGATTACATTAAAATGGGGCCATTAGGGTGGGCACTAATCCAATCTGATTGCTGTCCTTGTAAGAAGACATTTAGACACAAAAAAGACATCAGGGGCACTCAGGCATGGTGGGACAACCATGTGAGGACACAGCAAGAAAGCGACCCTCTGCAAGTCAAGAAAAGAGGTCTCAGGAGATACCAAACCTGCTGACACCTTGATCTTGGACTTCCGGCCTCCGGAACTGTGAGAAAATTAATGTCCGTTGTTTAAGCCACCCAGTCTGTGGTACTTTGTTATGGCAGCCCGAGCAAACTAACACAGATTCTCAGTCAGAGTTACACCCACATCATGAGAACACCCAATCCAGAGCAAAGCCCTGCTTCTTTGAACCTCCTCCAAAATCACCTGAGAACTCAGGCAAAATCCTGCAGCAAGTCCTCAGAACACCCTCGTACTGAGACCCCCCACAGTTCCCCAAGGCATAAGTTCTTCCTCGTTGCAAAGAGCAGTAAAGTGAACTAATTCAACTTCAGGTGTGTCCCTGATGATCTGTGGCTAAAGGACATTAATAACTGTGTATCTACGTCCGGTGACTCTGGCCAGCACCCCACGCCATCCATCCCTGTGCTTCCACTGGTCTTCCTCCATCAGGCCTTGTGTAGGGAGGAGCTGGCACATCTCCTCCCCCACCCCTCCCCTCTCTCCCTGCCCCCCACACACCCCGCGGCTGACACAGCAGTGGAGTGAATGGTTCTTGCTCCCAGAAGCCTGGTGTAATGTGGTGCCCGTATGAATGATTCCGGGCAGAAAGGGCTTTGTAGTGTGTCAAGATGAGCTGAGGCTTCCCAGGAGAGCACTGGAGGAACCATGAATGGTCGCTGTTCAGCTAGCTTCTGCCTTCAGCTTACTGCGTAGACTGTGCAAGCAGAGGAGAGAGCTGAACTGCGAGATGCTGGTGGACGTGAGAGAGACCTTTCTTCTGGGGATGGGAGGATGGGCAGAGTAGAGATAAGGAAAGTGAAGAAGGCTATTGGAGGAGGAGGAGCAGAGAAGTTGGCCAGGGAATTTTTAATTACATTTTGCTGTTCATTAGTATGAAAACTTCAGGAAATGTATAGTAAAATTTAAATCACACACCATTCTTTCAAAAATGAGTTTTGGGCTTCTGACATTGAAGCATTTGGCTTCAAGGTGAGCCTGGGGGGTGGGGAGAGGAAGGCTTCCAGAGGGGGACCAGCCACCTAACTGTGTGATTTTTACTATGAATCTACAGTGAACAAACCTAGGAATATTTTTTAAGTGACGCGAGCGATTGGTAAGTTTTCACGGGACTGGCTAGTGATTGTTCTCTAGAACCTTTCAAAAGCTCTAACTTGCTACCCAATGTATGTTTGGTTTACATCACTTTTTGTCCTTAATGATCCCTTCATCCCTTCTATAAACTGCTGCATCCACTTAGTCAACACGCTTATTAAATCCCTGGGCATTCCCACGCGGGGAGGGGGTTAGAGCCCTGACTACAGCAGACAGGAGCCCCGGGCCCAGGAGCTCTGTGTGGAGTGCGGCGCAGTTCTCAGCCCTGGTTGCACATCAGCATCGCCAGGAGAACTCTGAAAACTAGCGGCGCCCCAGCTCCACACCTGGTTAGTGAACTCAGAATCTTACGGGGAGGTAGGGGGCAGCATCAGCATTTTAAAAGCTGCCCCGGTAAAGTTAATGTGCCGGCCAAGGTTAAGCGACAGACAGAAAAAAAAGAAAATTATAATAATGGTAGAGTATGTGTAACAAGCGTCCATGACAGCCCATAACCAAGGCCATCCCTACAGGGGAATTTCCCAGTAGAATGTTGTCTTAATAGAGACTGGGATTTGAACAGGAGTCAGCAAAAGAACACCATTCCGGGGAGAAGAACCAGGATAGACAAAGGCCTTGAGGCGTGAGACAGTGAGCTGTGTTCACAGAATTCACCCTGGTGACACATAGATGAAGGCAGGTAACAGTAACAAGAAGAAAGAAAAGCAGGGGCCAGAGGTGAAGAACCCATGAAATGGGCTGAGGAATGTGGCCCGTATCTGAAAGCTCTGCAGAGCCCTCGAAGTGCTTTAGGCAGAGGAACTGGACAAGCAAATGTGCCCTTTCTGCCCTGGCTGGTGTGGCTCAGGGGGTCGAGCACCGGACTGTGAACCAGTAGGTCGCTGACCAGTTCGATTCCTGGTCAGGGCACCTGCCTGGGTTGTGGGGCCGGGTCCCCACTTGGCAACGGATCAATATTTCTCTCACACATTGATGTTTCTCTCCCTCTTTCTTCCCGCTTTCTCCTCTCTCTCAAAAAATAATAAATAAATAATTTTATTTTCAAATGTGCCCTTTAGAAAGATCATGTGGAGGGAAAATTGGGGGGAGTAAAAGTGGGTGTGGTGAGAGATAGTTAGGAGAGACAGTGGGGACCCAGGCCAGGGGACAAAGAGGAGTGCAGTGACATTAAGGAAGTCCAGTCCACGCACTCGCTAGCTGATTGGACGTGGAAGAAAGGACGAACAAGAAACTTTCAGGATTAGGGCCCAGAAAGGGCCTCCGGACCACGCCCTCCGGCCTCCATTGCACAGCACCGGACCCAAGTCCCCGAGTGCTTTGGTGGGGCTCCAGGCAGCAAGAGCAGGGGGGGAAAGGGGAGCCCTCCCACACCTGGGAACACCACCTGCTGCTAGATCCTCCCGAAGTCATGTACCCCGCCTCCCCTTGAAGTCTCTGGGAACTCCCCAGCCTTTCCAACACCCTCGCTAATCTCCTGCACCCCGAAGAGACTCTTTAACTGCCTCCAGCACTTCCCCTGTGGCCGGAGACTATGCAAAGGCCACACTCAGCTGGAGCCCCATCTTGTTTTTACTCCTTATTGGCTCTGTGACCCTAGGAAATCACACACTTTATCTTCAACCACTTCACTTATCTGCTTCTGCATTTGCAAAATATTTCAGTAGGAATGTAAAGGCTTTTTCTAAGGCAATCCCACAACATTCCAAAATGTGTGCCCTTTGATCTAGAAATTCCAGTACAAGGTTCCGTCCTGAGGAAACAGCAACACACGCGTGTGAACACACAAGTTTGGAAGTCACGGAACGGGGTCCGCCACAGCAGACGACCACGAGAAACCTCAACGATGCGCACGATGCAGAAGGGTGCGGCCGCGTGAACAGCGAGGCAAGTCTGTCCGTCCGGCACGGGAAGGACGCACAGCACTCTCCCGCCTCCTCTCTGGGGCCAGAGTGGATTGCTGTGCTGCAGAGGAGGGGAGGGGAGGGGCTGTTTTAGTTTATATTCTCTGTGCTTCTGTTGCTGATATTTTTAGAACAACACAACTTTTATATGTAATAATTTTTTTTAACTGAATCCCTCTTGAGCACATACTCCGCGGCCTGTCTAGCTGGGAGTGTGACTTACACTTGAAAACCTACCTGTCTACTCGCTCTTCCTACCGGGGACAAAGCTGTCCACAATGTGGCCTATTTGCCTTTTTTTTTTTTTAAGATTTAATTTGTTTATGTTTTAGAGAGAGGAGAAGGGAAGGAGAAGCAGAGGGAGAGAAACATCAATGTGTGGTTGCCCCTCACATGCTCCCAACTGGGGGCCTGGCTCACAACCCAGGCACATGCCCTGACTGGGAATCGAACTGGCAACCCTTTGGTTCGCAGGCCCATGCTCAACCCACTGAGCCACACCAGCCAGGGCTATTTGCCATTTTTCATGATCACAAATAACGCTGCCAGGAATAGTGCAGTGAGGAAAATTCAGAGCTGGAGAAACATCAGGATTTTCATTCTTACTATTCCAACTTGTTTATCAGGAGTTATGGCCTGAGCCCAGCACCCCCAGCCACTGTCCCTCTGCCGTCTGTCTGTCTGCCGTGACCCCACCTGGCCCCTGACACCCCACCAGCCTTTGGAATACCACCCTCACTTCTGGCAACTGATACTTTTATGACAGAGGAGGGAGGCTTCTCTTTCCTGCTTCTCTCATTCCTTCCCAGGGTCTGTTGTTTCCCGGGACAGCAGGTTCTCTCTGCCCCAAGAATGGCCTCACGAACTAACGTTAGTAGCCTCAGTGAGGGAGAATCCCTGCCAGATCCCCTCCCACCCGCAGGCCACAGCCGCTCAGCCGCACGGGCCGAACTCTGCTTTCCTTCTTCCTGGAGACGCTGTGGGACCTCCCTGTGGGCCCAGAATTCCGGCCCAGGCAGCAGCTTCTCTCCAGGAGTTCGCGGGCCTGCTCACACTGCAAGGACAGATCTGTCTACAGAGAAAAATATGTTTTACAGCCTCCCAGAAATGAGGTATCCATGAAATTATTCCTTCCAATTCATTCTTGTATACATACGTGTACAGAGTTTTAAAATAACTTTGAGCTTCATACTTGATACTTTTCTATAAAATAACTACCGTGGACACACCAGTCACTGAGTGTCCCCATCCCTGAGGAGTCACCCTGCCCCCGTTCAGGGGAGCAGAGCTGGCATAGGAAGGTTAAGTCGCCTGCCCATCCAGTAGAAGCTGGATTCGAACTCACACACTCCAGAATCCGGTCAAGATGGCGGAGTAGGTGGAGGCTGCACTCACCTCCTCCTGTGACCACATGAAAACTCCAACTAAATTACTGAGCAATCAGCCTAGAGAGCCAGCTGAAGTCTAGCTGAACAGGAGTCCTGTAACTACGGATATACAGAAGTCACATCCAGACTGGATAGATCTCATTTTTGTTATACATAACATTCTCTGATGTGAAACTTTGTACCATATTTTATTATATTCTTAAGATAAATTTCTAGGAATAGCATTGAATTAGAGACTAGTTTTTAAAAAGATTTTATTTATATTTATTTTTTAGAGAGAGGGGAAGGTAGGGAGGAAGAGAGGGAGAGAAACATCTACATGTGAGAGAAACATCAGTTGCCTCTCGCTCGCACCCCAACGGGGGACAAGGCCTGCAACCCAGGCACGTGCCCTGACCAGGGGTCAAGCCCACGACCTTGGGCTTAACTGGACAATGCTTAACCGGCTGAGCCTCACTGGCCAGAACTTGAATTAAACACCATCAAAAACACACACACTCTAATTTCAGAATCTAAACTCTCACTCATTTCCCTACACCACCTATTCTTATTACCCGCTAACATTTTCTTAAGGAGATATATTTATTTACATTTTCTATTGTGAAGATTTTTTAAATGTACACAACACACCAGGGCAAAGAAGCACAATGAACCTGTGTGCACATGTTGCCCAGTTTCTGAAAGACACATGACATCTACGGAGCCAGTGTTCCATGGGACAGTTCGGGAACCTCGGGCCCAAGTCAACATGAACAGCTCCTCCAGAACCTGGCTAGACAACATGGCAAGGACCACCCAGGCGATGCCCAGGAGGGAGCAGGCAGTGTGTGAGAGGGGAGCATGGAGTCAGGAAAGCCAGGGGGAGTGGGGAGAAACTGAGTTCGGGGGGGCCACTGGCAGCATAGTGCCAGGCCCTTCAGTATTGTCTCAGCTGCAGAGAGCCACCTCGCCTGCGGGTGGCCGTCTCAGCCCATCCTGCCACAGCTCGGGCTCCAGAGTTCCCCTGGGTGTCGTGGGGCCTGAGGCTGCCACAGCTTGACTTCTCCCTCTGCCCGATCGCACTTCCTCGCTGCCCTTCAACAGGAGTTAATCCAAGGACACTCCGGAATAACCATCCGGCACACGGAACCCTCTCTGAGTCTGCTTCCCTGGAAATCTAGCCTGCAGCAACCCCTTTGCCTTAAGGGATTCCGGTGATCCTCTGTTCCTTGCAATCCAAAGAGCATAATTAACACGGTCACCCAGTGAATCACCAGAGTGGCCCTGGGATGACTCCTGGACTCCATTTGCAGAAAATATACAGACATCGCGAGAGGAGAAAGACAACACAAATGGGGGACACTGTTACACTGTATGTGTTCAGGGAACATGTGGCCCATATTTGGGAGGACATGCAGCTTTCTCTATTCTTCTGGGGGTGCTTGGGAGCCCACCCCCACAGATGGGGCGTGGGTGAGCCAGTCAAAGGTAACTCCGCCCCTTCCTGTGTAAAGCAGCCTCCTTAGGCTGCATTCGACCCCCGGAAGAAATGCTCAGTCTTTGGGGTCCCTTCTCTCTTCCTCCTCCTCAAGAAGGAACGAGTCCGAGGGGCTAACTTGCCTTCAAGTTTGCGCTGCATCTGCCTCTAAAGCATGTGCTGCTCTAACACGGTCTGTTTCCTCGGCTGCCTTCCTGACTTCGCAGCTGACCTGAAATCTACTGCCGCTTTCCTTACATCCCCGAGTCCTCTTCCCGGGGCCAGTTGACCCCTGTGGTGGGGACACACTCAGCACTGAGGATTTGTGATCCAACCCCTCAGGCAAATTCCTCATCTCCTACACCTGAAGTCATGATGTCACAATTCCTGGGCCTCATCCACGGGTCGTGAGGAACCAGATGCTCTCGCTAAGCTCGGAAGCCTATCTCTGTGATGGCATTTTAATGGGTCAAATTGTCCAGGCTATAGCCCCCAACTACTTATAAAACACATAAATATATGTATAAGGTGGTATGATAAATGTTACGAAAGAATACTCAAGCCGGGTGAGGCTCTGGCTATGTAAGGAAGGAAGGAGAGACATTAAGCACAGTGCGCAGCACGTTGTGTTCGTTATTTCGGTTAATGTCACTCTGTCACCCAAGCCAACTGGAGCCCTCTCTCTGTCACCCACTACATCCCACCCACCAATGCTTACTCTCTGTGGCGATTAACTCCCAAATTTTTCACCTTTTCATCCCCATTGCCCCTCTGTAAGTCTGACCCTTATTATCACTCACCTGGATCATAGCAACAATCTCCTGACTGAGCTTCCTGCAGCCATCAAACCCGTTGACAACCTGATAACAGCAAGCACATACACAGCCTTTGCTGTGTGTCAGATGCTGTTCCAAGCACTTTGAAGCCACAGGAAGTGGGTGCCATTGCTGTCATCATCGTTGAACAGATAAGGACACAGGCACAGAGGGGGCTAAGTGGGCCAGCCTCTACATCCCTCTTCGCCTCCCTGCTTGCTTCTCTGTGCTTCACTTCTGTGGAGATTCACGCCAACATAGTTTCAAACCCCAACTCTGTCACTTAGGACCATGAGACCTGGGGAAAATCCCATCAGTTCCGTCTTCATCAGGTTGGACGGCCATAGCAAAACACTACCGACTGGGGTTTAAGCATCGACTGCTTAGACAACAG